TTGAGAGTGTGGGATTTGTGTGCTTACCTCTTTGGAGATATCGAATTGAGACAGGTCATCAACCGGCTGTGACATGATCAAGAAAATTTGGGGAATTCTTTCTTCAATCTAAAACCCTAATCCCCTCACTGCCCTCTTTTTATTGGGGGAATTTCTGGCGGGAAAATCTGTGCCCTTACCGATGAGCGAGTATGGTTGAGTAGTGCGAAAGGTTTTCTTTTAGCGGGTTCCGTTTGGAAGGGAGTGCGTAGCTAAGGTTGGGCCTGGTGGCTGGGCTGAGCCTGTTTTCTTTTCCAACAATTATCTTTCTTTAGATTTGAATTCATAATCTCTTTAAGAAAGTGGAGATTGAATATGAGTTTTTTTTTTAAGCTCCAAAACTTTAGCAAAAGAAAGGGGTACAGTCCGCTATTTTATGTTTTGAATGCAACTTTTTTTTTAATATCGCTTGTAAAAACTTGTTGCATCAACATTGGACTTTATCTATTTACAACAAACTAAACATACTCAGCTAACAGGGTGTAGCCCAATAAAAAAAATGCATTGATCCATAGATCAATGGTCTGAAGTTCGAAACACAGAAATGTGATAAGCCTAGCATTTTCCTATTAAAAAAAACAGTAATTGAAGATTGGAAGGAAGTTGTAACCATACAAAGTGGAGCCCACTTACAGACTTGTAATGCACCACTCACCAATCTCAGTCTGAAGAACCTCTCTGTCAATCAAACAACCATGTGTGATTCAGTGGTCGTCGTCCCGGTCAACATCGCACCCAACCACGTTAACCCATGTGATCCTCGTTCGGACCTAATTCCATGTTAACAAATTCCATAGCCATTTCACACCATTGATCCTACTCCCTGTAACCTCCACTAACCATATCCAACGGTCACTTGGACCCTCCTTCTCAAAACAGAGCATTTCAATACCAGTTTCCAAGTTGCCAAAACTAGAGTTCTAGACAGAACACAGAGAGAGAGAGAGAGAGAGAGAAGAAGCTATGGACATTGAGAGAAAGAAACATGTTTACCTGGCGAAGCTTGCTGAGCAAGCCGAGAGATATGATGGTATGCTCTTCTTGCATGGACCTCCATTCTTTCACTATTTTTTCCCTTTTCTAAGAATTTATGTGTCTTATAAGAACAGTAATAATAATAATAATAATAACATAATCTTTTTGGCTATGTATATATAATATTATTAATTTTGGGCAAGTTGTACTTAGTTTTGGGGAATTCATAATATTTCGTGCACCAAAGAGCGATTTATGAGTTAGCAGATGTAGGGATTAAATGTTTTAATATTGGGTTGTTTTTCTTTTTATTTTGATTGATGGTGATTGATCCTATTGAAAGGGGAGGAAATGAAAAAAAGTGATATACTAATAAATGATTACGTGTTCCCAGCAAGAGGTAAAAATCTCCAGTTGTTTACAAGCATAACTGATTATGTGAAATATGTCATTTTACAAGCAAACCCCAATTCTTCACCCGTTCATTTTGAGACTCGATGGGAAACCACTTATTTGGTTTTTGTGGCATATGTAATTATCTGAGAATTAATGGAAAGGGTTTATTGTAAATTTGTTTAGCATTTAAATGGATCTCAATTTGAATATAAGGGCATGTTTGGGAGTGCTTCTGAAATGGCTAAAAGCGTTTTCTGATAACTAAAAACGCTTTTGATAGTGTTTGACAGAAAAGTTTAGAAGAGCTTCTGGGTCATAGAATCGCTTTCTGGAGAAGCACTTGCTATGTGCTTCTAGCAGTCCCAAGTGCTTTTCCAGAAAGCAATTAAATTTTTTATGAAAATTCAAGATTTTTATAATAAAAACGCTTTTGTTAAAAGTGCTTATGAGCAGAAGTACTTCCTGGAGAAGCAATCCCAAAACGAGCCTTAGTATTAGTCTTATCATTCTTGCAATAACTTTCTGAAATGTTGCTGCTGCTTTAAGTTTTGAAGTCGTTTGCGGTGCAAATAGTTTTTGCATTGGTGGTTTCATTTCTACTATGTGTTTAATTAGTAGAAGTCAAGATGGAACTCTTATCACTTGGTATAAAGTTGACAGCTTATGTATTGTTTAGGATATTAGCCCACAATCAATTGCATATATGTGTAATGCATCAATTTTCTTGTTTTCTTGTTTCAGAGATGGTTGAAGCAATGAAGAAAGTTTCCAAGTTGGACGTGGAACTGACTGTGGAGGAGCGGAATTTGGTGTCTGTTGGGTATAAGAATGTCATTGGGGCGAGAAGGGTGTCATGGCGGATATTGTCTTCCGTTGAACAAAAGGAGGAGGCCAAGGGAAGTGAACAAAATGCTATGAGGATAAAGGAGTACAGGCAGAGGGTTGAAGATGAGCTTGCAAAAATTTGCCATGACATTTTAACAGTTATTGATTACCACCTCCTTCCATCTGCATCAACAGGGGAATCTACTGTTTTTTACCAGAAGATGTGAGAGCTACTTTTCTGTTCCTCTTCTGTTGAATTAAAATATTCAGTTAAAACAAACCATGGAACTATGATTACTTGGAAACTTTAAAAGCTTAAGAAGTTATGCAAGCTGATAGCATATTTTCTTTAGCTTAGAGAGAGAGTTGAATTATTTTTTACGTAGTTCATAGAGCCAAGAAACCATGATTGCTTTTTTCTTTTTCAACTTGTTTTTCACTCTAGTGGATATCATAAAACAGGGGTGTTTGCTTTGGGTGCTTCTATTTGGTTATGAATTTCTTACATTTGATGACTTTTTGTGTGTGTTAGGTTAGGAGGGATCTTCACTTCAAAGCCCATTCCTTTTGACATACCTTGTTACCATGCAAGTTGATGTTATGTGAGAGAGAGAGAGAAAGAGAGAGAGAGAGAGGTTTGAGTTGTGATCCTTCTGGTTCCCCGTGACAGGAAAGGAGATTACTATCGATATTTGGCTGAATTTAAAGCTGGCGATGATCGTAAAGAAGCGGCTGATCAATCGCTTAAAGCCTATGAGGTATTCAACTTCCTAGCTGGAGGCCCTTTTCTCTATCATGTTTTCACTTTCCTTTTTTTTTTTCTTTCTCTATCTTGTTATATTCTGATATTAAGAATGAGATTGTAATGAAACTGGCATATGCGCGGTAGGTTGCCAACGATACTGCTGACTCTGAGTTGCCCACAACCCATCCAATCAGACTTGGCCTGGCTCTAAACTTCTCTGTTTTTTACTATGAAATTCTTAACTCCCCTGAGAGGTTTGCTCTCTCTCTCTCTCTCTCCCTTATTTGTACGTTCTTTAATGCTTACTCTTACGGTAGTGAGTCACCACTTTTGTGTCTCATTTGCAATTTTGCACCATGCAGGGCCTGTCATTTAGCTAAGCAGGCATTTGATGAGGCAATTGCTGAACTTGACAGCCTCGATGAAGAATCCTACAAGGACAGCACCCTTATTATGCAGCTTCTCAAGGATAATCTCGCATTGTGGACCTCAGATCTGCCAGAGGAAGGAGGTAATTTTATGAATAATTTTATTTCCTTCTGCATTGTCTTGAATCTTGTGTCAACTTGATGATATATCTTCAATTATGGGTGTTGTAGATTTATAATTGCGCTACTAGATATTGATCTTAGCTTAACTTTGGTTTAGTTGCACTCTCATATAACAAGGATATTTATGCAAGTTTACAAAATTTTGTTGAATGTGATGAGAGAGTTCAGTTATTCAAATTTAATTATCATTGATATGGCACATCATCATGCATATCTCTGTGGAAAGTAGAGCTCATGATAGTGGGACAAAATCTCCCTAGGTTTCCTTCAGGTGAAATCGAAGATGTTAGCTTGTTGTGCACTTCATACCAGTGTTATCCAGCTTAGAATTTAGGAACTGCTTAGGAACACTGTCTAAAGTATGAGACTTCCATCAATGTCGAGTCTAAAGTTGCACATGTTGAAAATGTCAGATTGGGTTTACTATTGCCTTCTCTTGACAATGTGATCTGAATTGATAAGCTGGGTTTTCCCCGGGCTGAGACTCATCCGTATTATCTGTCGACTAAGAATTTCTGGATATATATATATATCTAAATTGACAGTGTAACATTCTTTTTTTGTTGTTGCTAGTACTTCAAGAAATACTTACCCGTCGAATTATGTTCTCTGCCTTAAACAATTTTTTGTTCTTGCTTTGTATTTGAACAGGCTAGATTTGTTATGAGTTCATGCATTTAATTCATAATTGCTGATTCTTTCATTGAATTGTCAGGTGAGCAATCTAAAGTTGAGGAACCCCCTCCAAAGGTAAGACAGAAGAATATTATCATGCCATAAGAAAACTGCAGTGTCATTTGGTGGACTAGATGTTTGGCAAAATGCCATTGCCACCCTTACTTAGCTGTTTATTTTCTAACACTGATTTTCTGGTTTTGTTTTCTAAATTGCTTTATTTCCTTCTTCAGTTAATCACTAATTAATTTTCAATTTGCAGAGTTAGATGGGATAAGGGAGAGTAATTATTTGGGACTGGCTTCGTGTAGATGGAGCAACATAGGGAGCATGACTCATTGGATTACCAAGTTTGTAGTACAAGGAAAGTGACTCTAGGGTTGTATGTATTGTCTATTTAATCATGGCGCTTCTTGGCCCTTGGATTTTTTTTAAAAATATTAATAATTGCATTGAAAGAGATCAAACCTTTGACTTGTTCCAGCGCCGGTCACTAGTTACTTGAAGTGCTTTTGTTTACTACACAACAATCTTTTTGGCCTATTTACATGGGTAATAGGAGTACTTATGTAGGAAGTACTTCTCGTTATAAGCGCTATTGGTAGAAGTTGAAATTTTTATTAAGAATCTGTATTCTTAGAAAAGCACTTGGAAGTAGTTCATAAAGGGAAACCTGATTGTCTTTCTCCACCAAAAATAAAAACATTTCGTTAATTTAAAAAACGATATATATATATATACACTCCACTAAGATTTTTGCTTTTGTTTTCCTTCTTGTAGTAAGCTATGTATCACTTTGTATTGTATTGTATATTTGTATTCTTTCTTCTTCCTTGTGAAGCTTCAAGAGAAATTTGTCTCCTTGAAAATGTTGGACCTAATAGCTTCTCAAATCTTGTAAAAGGGCTTGAGTTGACGGTATAAGGTTAATGCAGGTAGTTTCACAAGGATATGGGCAGTCAATTTCCTTTGTTGCCCTTCTACTGAAGTACCAATCACCTACTGCTTCTGCAATGGTCCTATTGTGAACCCTTGGAGAGTCTGCAGCAAACCATGAGTCTTGAGACTCACTTTGGCCGTGACCAAAGCATGAATTAATGAAGAAGCCTCCTCGTCTCGAATATTTGTAGGACAATCCCATAGCAACAATCATGTCACGCCTGAATTCTTGCAATGTATTCAACTGTTGAGGATTGCACGCCGCCGGATTCAGTTTGCAACGATTCCAGTGGCCTTGTGGATCAGCTGAAGGTGGCACCAATATATGATGGAACTGGTAAACATCATAAGCTGAGTTCAATATGAAAAAAGGTGGTGTAATGAACTTCAATGCGTACTGAGGGAAGAAACACAGCTCGGGAAAATTAAGGGAGCTGGCGGTGCAGTTCTCATCCAGATTCTTCTCTAACCCGTGTAGAGAAACAACATCTTTAACGAAAGACCTCATGGTGTGGTTAGAACTTATATCTCTTTCGTCAAGAAAGAATCCGGCATCGCTCAAGCATTTCACACTGGCAGTGCTTGGTAAATATTTAGTGAAGTTGTTACAATGCAAAAAGGATGATAAACCCCCAGCAGAAGAACCTGATAGCAGAGCCTTTCTTGCCTGTCCTAAACCTTTTGGCAGAAGATCCAGAATGATTGCTTCCCAAATCTTTTGCCCTCTGAAATAGAGCAATGACGTCCCGTTTTTATATACTGCATCTCCAGCAAATGAAGCTCCATCGCAATATCTAAGCTTCACACGGTTCCAATTGTAAAAATCTGGATTTAGAGATGCATTATTGCTTAGAATTCCAGAGAAGACCTCCCACTTGCTCATGTAGCGTGTTGATCCTCTACGGGTGTTGGCTCTGTCCAAGCATGATTTTATGCTATTGCACCACCCTCCACCCTCGAACTGTAAAAGCCAGTTTCTTGCTCCGCCCCCGAATCCTCTGTGCAGGTGATACGCAGGCAAACTCCCATCCAAGCAAAAAGCTCCAAGAGCCGAAGCGTTCCGGACCAGAGTCATGTTCACCATGAGCCGCTGGTCGTCCGAGTAAATGCACCGAGGCGAGCACGTTAGCAGAGCCAGGGTGATGGCGACCAGTACTGCGTTCACATTCATCATTGTAGTAGCCATGCCGCTGTGTCTTCAACTTTAACTAATTCACGCGCATACAACTTATCTTCATATATGTATTCTTCTCTAATATGAAGGTATTTATAAAGAAGTACAAAGATGTGTTACTCGAGATAAAATAGGAAATAAACCTCAGTTACAACAGGACTATATAAATAGTTAAGTAACTAAAATCCTAATTGAATAAGGACTCGTCAACATCTTAACCCGTCTATAAATAATTAAGTAACTAAAACCCTAATTGAATAAGGACTCGTCAACATCTTCACCCTTCTAAACAAAGAGGGTATGCATATTTTGTGCCGTTTATGCTAAAACATTACATGTTGTCTTGTATTATGTTTGCCTTCAATAAAAATATAAATAAAATAAAAAAATATTGTGCTTGACGAAGCACGTCATGTCATGATTGATCCAATTAAATTACACAAATTTGTTTTATGGGATTAAGGGTTGGATTACATTAAATAGCTTCAATCATGTCAGTGATTGAAGTGGTGTTGAATGTTGTTGATGTTTGTTAGCAGATGGCTGCTGCATATCGAGTAAGAAGGACTTGATGTGGTTGTAGTACTCCTTGGGCTTTTGTACGTTAATTGCATGTCCTGCATCCTTTATCACCACAAGCTCAGCGTTCTCCCCTAAGTGCCTGTATAAATATATATATATATAGTTTTTACCAATGAACTCAAAATTCAGAAAGAGAGACTAAACAAATGCACGCACTCGGTCAAAGACTTCGATCAGAAACTCACCTTTTTAATTTGTAAGCAAATTCTAGCGGAAATACTTGATCATGCTCTCCCCATATTATAAGGGTTGGCTGTGAGAGGAGTGAGAGAAGGGTAAGATTTACTAAATCATGTTATTATAATTTCGCAGAAGAGGAAAATGACAAGGATTTCGCTAAGGTCCGCGGAGATTTCAACCGATGATGCACACGTGGACGACTAACTTAAGCAAGATTAAGATGTGCTATGACCCAAAAATAAAATACATAGATGAAAAATGAACCTGTGGAATCTTGGGAAGGTCTGAAAGTTTTCGGTTTTTGGGGACGGCCATAATCAACTCTTTCTGCTCTTTCACATGTTCAGTGTACATTGCCTGCCCATTTCATCATAATTTGAGTTTGATTGCAGAACGAAATTACTTAGCTACTTAAATGTAAATAGTTATTTCAACAAATCACAATTTGACATGTGTATAATTTTTTATTTGAGATGATTTTAATAAGGATAATGTTCTTCTCGCTCTACCACTTAAAATATTATTGCAATAATTCGCTTTAAGACTCCCATACATGCTACATACCAAACCATGTTGACCCGTTGAATGTTTCATTCCATGACTGGTAGTTGATTTTGTAATGAGTCACGTGCACCATGCAGTGGTTTATTTATAATATTAATACAGCATGCACGTGACCAATCCTACAACCACCACTATATCTACATGGTTTTTTTTTATTTTATTATTTTTATCAAACTCTACTTACTACATGATTTATGCCTTCAAAACGAAAATTCAACGAAGCGAATGTGTTTCGAGATCACTGTCGGGATAAGATCTCAAGATAATGTCTTAATAAGTCAAATTACTAATCTCAGTCCAAATTGAACTTTTCTTCTAAATTTGCTTCAATTCGGACCAACTGTGCACATCACTTGCAAGGATTAATGGGTTCTTTCAAGCCTAGTTAAGGGTCAAAACATGCTCTAATCCTTTTGAAAAACTCTTCACCCTTACATCCTTTCTCAGGACGTGCACATAAATTATAGCGTACGCAAATAGAAGAGAAGTTTGATTTAAATTGAGATTGATAACGATACCTTAACTAGGACAAAAATTTGCACGACAAGACATACATTGATTTGCGACCCAAAACACCACATGAAAGAATTTGCACTTGTTAATCTTCCAACTTATGACGATTGAGTTTATAGCGAGTCTCATTGTTATGAATAGACATGCATGAACGAGAGAAGATATTGCTAATTATACAATCTCAACTGACAATCTAATATGATCTGTAGTTTGATTAGCTTAACTTAATCATCATCATACTTAATCACTTAATTATCATCTAAGAAGTATTAGAAACATTTACCTCAATGAAATCCATAAGCAAGCAAGAGGGGATCAACCCAAGAGGAGGCGGCTTGAAAAAAGTGTACTTGACCAATTCCCTAAGCTTCTGCGGCGTCTGCGGCACCAAAATGCTCGCAGCCTCGTCCAAATCCGAGATCGGAAACACGCCTTCCCGGATGTCCTTCTCCTCCAAGCACACCGCGGCGCAGCATATCACAACCCTCTCCACCGCCTCCCTGTACTTGGCCGCCAGGCTGTACCCCACAAACCCGCCATAGCTCAGCCCCACCAGGCTCAGCCTCCGCACCGAGTGGGCCTCCATGACACGCATCACGCACTCGGCCTGGAATGACTCGGACCGGTCCGGCCGGGTCGTGGACGACTCGCCGAAGAAGAGGAGGTCGGGGACGTAGACGTTGAAGTGGGGGGTGACGTGGCGGAGGAGGTCAACGAACTGCCACATCGCGTTGACTCCGAGGCCGTGGATGAGGAGGAGGTTGCGCTTGGACGGGTTTGGGGACTGCGGGACCCAGCAGTGCATGGTGGTACCGCCGTCTTTGAGGTCTGTGATTGCGGACCGGAGGCCGGCTCGGGCGAAGGTAGACCGGTGGCATGAATTTTTTGACTCGGTGAAGCTGAAGCATGGCATTTTTGGTAATTTTTTTGGAATGGAGCTAATTGAAGGGAAAAGAGTCCCCTATTGAGGACTGTGGGTGATTTTGTATTGTTTTGAGGTGGAGGGATGCTGATTGGTGAGTTGGGTTGCGTTGGGTTGGTTTGGTTTGGTTTGGGAACTTGCTTTTCATGTGAATGCCATGTTAGATGTGGTGCGGTACAACAAATGCGTGGATGAAGAAGATGGGACCAGTTGAGACATGGAGAAAGTATTCAAAGCAAAGATGGGAAAGTACTCGAGAAGAGTGGGAGATAGAGAGTTCAGTAGCGTTGTGTTGACAATGACATTTATGCGGAAAATGTTCTCTTGCTAGACTGTGACGTCCGTATTATATTTGAAGTTAGTTCTTATCGAAATATGTAGTTGATATTTATAATGTGGATGTACAGACATTTCTGTCACAAGATATTTTGACAAGGAAACAATAATCACAATGGGTGTGCCCAAAATTTAGAGGACCCCAATGAATATATGGAATGATCCCAATCCTTCAATAGAAACAAAGTGGTTGAGATGGAAAGACAATAAAATCTAGATCACATGGTTTATTATTTAGGGAGATTCTCCGATAAGTATTTTATGTTAAGTATTGGTTACATGCTTTTAATCTTAAATATGTTGGTAATATCTTATATGCAATTCAACAGCTAAGATTAGAAGTATATAATCAATCCTTAATTTAAATACTTAGTGAAAAATATCCCTATTATAGATTAGTAGAATGATATTGAGTTGTTAATATATGACTCAAATTCTAGCATTAGCTTTTATGTGTGGGTGGATGTGTGACCCCCACAACATATACATATGTATAGGTTCGGCTCACGATATTTTATATACGTTGAGAAGACATCATTATATTTATTGGCATGATTGATTGTTTTAGATTGTAAAATTATTATATTTAAGATTTATAATCTCAGATTGGTAGTCACTTCGATCACCCAAAATAATCAACCATGTTGATAAATTGAATCACAATTGAAGAAAAATGAATAGAAATGAAGCTTTCTCAATGTAAATAGATGAGATGATGGAAAACTATGGGCTGCCAAACTATGGGCCACCACATCATCTATGGACCAATGCACGGGCATAATGAAGGAGAAGAAAATATTTCTAGGTTATAATTATGATTACTCTACCCGCCAACGTTTTAGTCCAATAGAAAAGGATTTTGACTTGCATACTAGTGATCTTATATTCGAATCTCCATAACACCTTGATAGTATGCATGTGAGAAACCCTTATAGTATAAACTATCGATTGTATTATTAAAAAAATTTATGATCAAACCAAGGTGGTTGGTGTGAGTGGTTCGGCACTCTCATTCCTTAAGAGATCAGGGGTTCGATCCCTGCTCTCGTACGGAGTCACCACTTTGGCCAACACCTTACCCCTTACGGGCTGACCCGGTGTGAGTAGGGATTAGTCTGGGTTGTGGTTAAGGCTTAAAGGTGCCACCCATAATTGGGGCCCATCTAGGACCTCCTCATGGTTCAGACAAAAAAAATAAATAAATTACGATCACTCGACAACACTAAACATAGCAATTTGCACGTGCGGAGTGAAACAAATATTCTTATTTACAATTTTCTATCAAAATGTCAACTCGTCTCTTGTTTTACCTCATCAATCAATTTAGTCCTTGTGTTATTAATTTGACTAATTTTATCTTTGTATTTGTATATGTTAGCTAATAAGCAAATTCAATTATTCATTAAGAGACTTAAACTAGGAATTTTTCTCACAATTTATTTTCTTTGACTCGGCTAGAAATTCACTTTGTCACAATATTTGACTATGAACTTTTTTTCTCACCTGTCGGGTCATTGGGGCCTTTGTAGCATCATTTTGAAATATGTATTGTCTTGATAGCAGCTTTCAAATTAACCAGTGATGATTAATTATTAAAAAATTGTTTCTGTAAGTTCTCAAAGAGGTCTTGATACGCTAGCGGATCTAGACCACTCTATAAAACTATATCAATCTTGAAATCTAGTTGCACTAGGGATTTTGTGTTGTAGTTGTTTTCTTAAGCATAAAATAAAATTTTAAAAAAACTATTTTAACTCTACAAAAGGGAAACTTTGAAATTTTATTTTATTTCTTGCTTGAAAATCAAATCTAAGGATATAGACATGATTTTTCAGCCATTCTTAGTAAAACCCACAAGTTGAAACAAGTTTCTGGCTATTGTTTGGAGCAAATTAGAGAAAATAAATTAAGCTAAGTGCAATTGCTTTTGCCCGCGACTCTATTTGACAACTTATATCTTCCATCATAAATTCGTGGTTATGAGCAATTTGTACATGAATTTGAAACTAATTTTATAAGCTTTAATACGCCTATAATATTGTGTATTGGAATTGACGTTTTATAAATTTTAACTTTTTATTTTTATTTTTAATACAAGTCTATGCTATTTTCACTCGATTTAAATTTTAACTTAAAGGAAGCCGTGAGAGATGAAACTTATTTCATCTATTAAACTGACCAAAATTTGAAATTGTCCTTAACTTGCTAATAACAAAATCAAACACAATGACCAAGACAATAAAATTGTACTATAATACAAATTAAAAATAACATTAAAGTACGAATTAAGTTTTTAAAAAAATAAGGAAAAGATGAACTAGAGATTTATTGATATTATACCCTAAAAGTTGGAAATATCAAACTTCTTGTACATTCATATTATAACACACGTGAACAAATTATACCATGTGACCGTTCTACGTTACCATACAATAATTTCTTCATACCTTGAGAGATCATTTATTCTCAAAAGAACCAACCTTTGAAGTTAGAACATGTTATTTGACTAGCCAAAACAAACCTACGCTAAAAGTAATGTCAATGTATAACCAGTGAGATCTTCCTCCCTACATCCTTTTTGTCATCGCTTCCCCTGATTTCTTCAAAACCCTAGTTTCCATCCTCTTGGTTAAAAGGCTGTCTCTCTGCATCAACTGGTTCCCACCCTTTCGTTTTTCATCATACTTAAGACTGCCAAAACTGGGTGAGCTCAGAGTTAGGGAGCTTAAGTACTCAATATCCCTCTCGAATGTTTCAGCTTGTAAGTAGCATGGTGGTGGCTCTTGGTCTTTCTTTTCCAACTCTTTCAAATCAATGTTGCATTCCAGATAATTAGCACCAGCCATTGCAAGAGCCTCAATGGAAGATGACATATTTTTGGCTGCCTTCACCGACAATAGAAAGACAATTCTTCTTGGGAAAATCGAATCTAAGACCTAGGATGCATGAATAAATATTCTTGATCACTTGAGCTACACACCCTTACATTATTTTGGGGTTTAAATAGAGGTAATCTTAGTTGGAAACAAATTAAATTCCTAAACCAATAACTAGCAAATCTCATTTGTTAACCAAACTAGGACTATTTGCCATTAGTTTCTTTTTTTATTTTTTGGGTTTCGGGCAACCTAAAATCAAAGAAGCTCATATTTAACCTAATAATTTTTTCTCAACTTTTTCTTGGACAGATAATTTCCTTCTAAGTCGAGTCGACTATATCTTTCTGGTTTAGTTCTGCACATCTTTCAACAGCACAATCTTTTCTTTCCTTTTCAAGGTTCTGAAAATACCAAAAAATGCATTAGATTGTCCATTTGAAAAGATTACCAATTACATCTTACCACAAAGCCTCTTCACCACAACCTGCCCACACTGATTTTTTGGGGTCCTTCGTATTGTTGGGTTTTTACCCAATTTATAAGGGCCCGTTTGGGAGAAGAGATTTGAGGTGTCCAAATCCAAATCAATCTGTTTGGGCCAATTTTCAAGTAGATTTGGAAAATTTGATAGGCCAAAAAGCAAGGCTTTCAAATAGGAATTTGGGTGAATTTGAGATCCAAAACTCTCACTCATTCTTCTCCCCCATCCCATCCCATCTCACCTGTATATGATCTGAATCTTCTTTGATTTAACATCTTTGGTTGCAATTATTCTTCTGGGATAATTGTTGGTCTTGTTTGGTTGCTGAGAAACAGTGGGAAAACAGAAGGAAGGTTTTGTAATTATTAATTTCTGTACTTTATAATTAAGTTTGTCTTCTCAATGACTTTTTCATTTCTAATTGTGCATTTGGATGAATTACTAGGTTTTTTTCAATTGAAATTCTAACTTAAAATTGGGGAAAATCAAATAGCAGATTTGACCTAATCAGGGCACGAGAATTGTTACTATACCAATTATCCCATAACATTTTTTCATTATGTTCATGAACCAATTTTAGAGAACCCCAAGAAATGAAAAATAAAAAAAAGTGAGTGATTAAAAAGGAAGATCCAAATGTTCCAAGCAAAGGGCAGCCAGAAAAGCAAGAAATGCAAATCTGGGTTTAAGCCCCAAGACCATGGAGAATCAATTTATGCCTCCAGAACAAAGCCAACCAAGAAATTGATCAAAAGATCTTAACCCTTGCAGCCGAAAGAAGAGGCAATTACTGTAAAAAAAACACCAAGCAAAGACCCACTAAACAAATTCAAATAATCATGATTATTGCTCAACTACACAGAGAAAATGAAGAAATGAATGCAAAGAGTGACGGAGAGAAGCATTGCAGGGAGGGATATTGGAGGAGTGGTTAATTGTGTCTATATATAGGCTCGGCTTAAAACCCTAGCCACAATACAAGGGTTTGGCTATTGTAGACCGATATTGCGGTGTATTAGCATTTGCGAATTTGGTGGTGACTCTCTCTCTCTCCCTCCCTCCTGCTTTATACCATATTTGTTACATTTGGTATCTGAAAATGTCCCTATAATGAAAAACCTTCATTAAAAATTATTTTCCTTTTTTATTTAAATCAAGTGTTAGATTGAATTCTTGTTTTAATCTTTTGATTGAATATATTATTGTTTTTTTATCAAATTCTGATACAAGTACGGGGAGGATATTCGAACTTAGGTGCAAAGAGACTGGTTCACTTTCTTGCCCAACTAGCCTAACACACGTATGCATTTAAAATATATATTGGGAACAAAGTATAGGTACATATTCATAGATATGTTACCAATGTAATGGTTCTAATTAAATGGACGAAGTAATCCTTTTTTTTCTTTCAAAAATTGACTAAATTCAATCTAAAACTCCCCCGCCTGCATGGCTATGGCTAATTTTAAATTTTCAAAGTCTAAAAGAAGTTTTTTTTTTTAAAATATACTAAAAGTTAAAAGAAATTATTTAAGTTGAGTGAAATGAGAAGAATTTCAAATCAAAACAACAAACTTTTATTATTAGTGGACTTCGATCATAACAAATGACTAGGTTAGGGAAGAACAAAGAATTGTATTATCCCAGCTAAAATCTCCACTGGCAAGCAATCTTCAATAAATTTGATACCACAAAAGGAAAAACCTGGTCCAAAACAAAATGCATTCCTCCAATCACAAACAGAAGCATGTCATCTACATAGCCGCTTGGTCATTTGAGTAAAGTAAATGGCCACATATACATCAAACTAAATCACCTTCTCAAAGAATTCAAACAATATCAAACACCAGGACATAAATAAGAGCATAAATTTACAGTGAGAAGCATTCCACTATTTCTCCCTTCTTTTTCTTTGGCCAATTTCCATGCTGCATAACTCATTCAAGGTTTACCCCAACCAGGTATGTATTTGTTGTTGTTGTGTAATCCATTCATAAATCAGCCTTGCGTGCGACGAAACTTGGATTATTGCTATATACTGCACCGGAAAGCAATATGGTTTTACTGGTATCATCCCCTAAATCTAACAACAACGCAAGAAATATCATCTTTACTATCTCTTTTCAGTGCTTCAGCTGTTAGTTGCTTAGCTGCCTTCAGAGGGTCTCTAATCTTTCTTGCAATATCAACTGCCTCTTGATTACCCATGACCTAGATTATCACAAACAGAAGAAAAAAAGTTATTGTCATGATATTTGAAGCACGCTACGTTTAGGTGAATTCTTCCCCATTTTTCTAGACTGCTAAAATAATTGGCACAATGCACCAAGTAGAAGAAAGATCAGGTAAAATGTTTCACCTTCCAAAGACCATCACTGGCAAGGATTAGAACATCAGTAGTATTGTCTACGAAGGTATCTTGTACGTCGGGATCTGATCGCAAATGTGACTTGAGGCTTTTGTCTCCAAAAGCACGAGAAACAGCCAGCTGCCCATTGACTCTAGGAACGTCTCCTGAAAATAAAAGCATGTGATAGAAGTCAGTTCAATGAGAGGCTTAACATAAGCTCAATTGGTACTCTGTGTGGTTACAGCTATAATACCAATGATAGATGCTGAATATTCATTAAGTAACATGAAAGACCCCATAATTGACACATGCAACTCACAGCTGCATCAGGAAAATATCTTAAGACAAAACGTTTTTTATACAAGATAACTTTCACTGGTTGTTTACTCATAATTAAAATTGAAAAGAGAAATCCTGATTTGTGGTCCAAATCCCACTTGAAGAGTTTGATTACTTCAAAATAAATAGGGAAGAGTTGGTGCATTGAAAGTCATGCTAGCTTCTTCTAAGCTTGCATCGCCATAACATCAGACAAACAGGCATGCAGACTGCTGAGACCAACTCCAGGAAACAAAGTATCAACAAACAAAGATGTCAATAGAAGGCAGATTCTCGAAAAAGGTCTTAGTTTGGATAGAAAACCCTTTTTATCTTGTGCACAGTGTCATCCAATCTTTAGTTGGAAACTTGAAAAACCGGATGCCTGCCCAGTGCCAGAAGGTCAAGGTAGTTGGTGACCTGATGAGACAAAGTTCATATATTCAACATAATTACGTATTTACAGCCAGAGGAATCATTACCGCATGGCATAGATGGGGAGGTCAAGGGTATCATGGCACTACAAAGGCCTCCAGTAAAAAGATTACTGTTTGCTAGAAGTCAGAGAGGAAGCCAGATTCTAAAATCTGTTTTAAAAAATTGTTCAAACAACTTCTACAATTTGGACAATAAGGACCTGTTCGAGAATTTCCTACTATTCTTCAGAAGTGCTCAAGTGATTCATAAGAAATTATCAAGTCTTTGGTACTCAGATGGCTAAACTTATGAATGGAATAAGGTTTTACTTCTTTCTTTCCCCTTTCGTATTTACTTATTTGGAAAACTTAAAGTTGCTAAAAGTCTTAAGTTCTTCTGGAGAATGCAATTCCCACGAGCCAACACAAATTTGAATTAAATAACAGACTTGCAGAAAACTAATCCAAGGGATCAGCAAGGTCATCCTCTAAGACAAAGTAAGCTGATCATAATTCAACTCCTATCTGAATGCTGATATTTTCTTGCAAATAAAATAGTTTAGAGTATTGCTTCTATCTATTTGGTGTAAGAATTGTTGAACAATTTCAATTGTTGAGAAAGGGGGCGACAAAAGTCATGGAATTTATCTCAGTGGAAAACCCTTGCAGCACAAAACTAAAATCTACACGGCATATTAACAGATGAAGCACCACTTTAAAAAATAAAATAGTGATAATTTATTACTCGTTCTTTTTCTTGAAAACCAGTAATGTTCATTCAAAATGTTACAGTTTTACATGTATATTTACACATTGAATGAACTTTCTAAACATCATTGCTGTAAAATACCTGGCATGTTTGAGACAAAGCCACCTTTGTTTTCAATGCTGCCTCGTTCGGTATTGGGCTCATGGTCTGTAGACATCTGTACTGCCTGACCCCCCTTTGAAAGAACTGCCCGTGAATCTCCAACATTTGCCACCCATAATCGCTGACTGTTAAACAATATTGCAGTTACAGCAGTGGACCCACCACGCCCCAAGTCAGAACTATGAGAGAGAATTGCCTGGTCCGTCCGCTCATAGGCTTTTAAGATAGATCTGTTAGGGTCGACCCAAAACTCTTCCTACAATATTTACATGAAAATTGTAAGAATACATCACTCCACAATTTCTATGCACCTAAACAAGACAAATAGATGGAACTATCTGAAATTAGCAGCTACCTCCTTAAGGATATTTGAAAACAAATGCTTCTGTAGATATGCAGGCACAGTGTCTCCCAAATGGCCATCATATATAGCAAACAATCCTAACTGATGTCCTTGGCTCCGAACAAACTTAGCAACATGATAATCCTCCATTGGATGATTAGCTTTTCCTTTTACCAGGCTGAAACCATACTTTACTAACCCATCGTGGCTTCTTCCCTTACCAGACCCAGATGATGAACGTCCCCCAAACTGCATAGAAAAATTATAAATAATACAACCTCAATCTTGTATAGTTCATAGACAGGCAGTATTCAGAAGGAAACAATTGTTTTCAACTTTTTGCTTCAAAACATAAAAATTCAGTTTCTAGTCCATTTACCAGGTAAAGAATGAAATTTTAGTTTCATGCATTAAGGCAAGCATAAAAGAAAATCAAGCTTGAATCTATTTCTTTTTTAGAATTGCTTTCCTTCTTAAGCTTCTTTTAAGTACAATGAAACAGAACTCTATTATATGGCTGTTGAGTAAAAACAATACACTTATTTTTAATGCACCAAACCAAAAGAGCAGCCAGTTAGAAACATGTTGGTTCATTTTTGGTCCGAACATGTTGGCTCAATTCAGAAGTTCAGCACAGCTATGGAAATTGTGGCCTAAGTATTCTAGTATTGAAGGCAACTGAATATCCCTTGTACCCAGCTTCAGAAATGCAGCAGAAGAAAGTAAATACTCGGCTTTAGCATCCTCAGTCAAGTAGAATACCCAAAACCACTTCAATCTAACAAATATTGCAAAGCAGTTCCTAAGATCATATCAGAAAACCAAAACACACAACATCGATAGAGAACAGGAAAAGATGAAATAAATGAACAAAGAAGAATGAACGATCATGATACCCCTTAATCCCAAAAGAGCATATTAATCCAGCTGACCATAATAAAACATAATTTTCAAATCCACCCAACAGCTGATGGATATCCTACTAGAAAAACCAAGTACATGAACAAAACTCCTCAATTGAATTACACATATAGTCCCAGAAAATAATCAAAAACCATGCTTTATAAGACTTATGATTGAGAAAATATACATCAAACAAGAATCAAAAAAAAAAAAAAAAAAAAGGACTGCATATAAGGGGCATAAGAAGTGAAAAAACATGATCACCTGAGCGTAGGAACCGCTAAAACAGCATAACCTATCCATAAAATAGGAAGTACTGGAGCTAAATCTTCAGCATCCACCTCTTGTAATCACCTCCAATCCAAATTCCAAACCAAACCCACCTTCCAAGATCAAAACTTGTTGCCTAAATTCTCAAACTGCACCATGAGAACCAATTTCAATCATTATTAACAAAGCAAGCAAAAACCCCTTTGAAAAAACAAAACAGCCCTAAAACCCACAAAGCCACTAAGAACAAAATCCACAAACGAGTAAAAACAGGAACTGGGCACCCGGGATTTTGGTCTTACCATCCAATGAAAGCTAGAAAATGGCTTGGCTTTTGTTTATTTGGCGGTGCCCCTTTCTTCTTCTTCTTCTGATGACTTCGCACAAGCAATTGAATAAAAACAGAATGGTAATGATGACGAGTAATAAAGAAATAAAAGAGAGAACATTTGAAACCTTTTTCTTTAAAAAGGGAAAATTAAATAAAACTGGAAAAATTAAAGTTTTATGCGAGCTTAGGAACTGTGTGATGATTTATAACCGCTATCGTGGGAGTCTGGGAATGAACAATTAAATTATTTTTTATTAATTTTTTTATTTTATTGTAAAGGTCCTAAAGGAAACTGGAAAAGGGTGCCATAAAACAGAGACTTCTTGGCTGTTGACTTTTTGCTGGCCCTACTCTTCTTCATTTTCAGTCCAGTCTGTTTCTTTTCTCTCTCTTCCTATGCTGCTTTTTCGTATTTTACTTTTCTTTTTTTTTTCACACACGCGGTTTTGTATTTTTCTTTTTCTAAGCACACGGTTTTGTATTTTGTACAAAATATTTGTACCTAAATACTCCAAGGAATATTTGGGGGTACCTAAATACTACAAGGAAGACTCTTCAATATTCATTATTAATATGTAACGCTTGCACGGCGGCTGATATTAGCAATATTCTAAAGTTTTATTACTTTGAGTATAAATATTAATGATTATTAATTGTTTAGTCAAAGTTCAAGGTTGACTTTCAAACTTGATTCAATTCAAGCTTGAATCTTTAAAATTAATGTCAAATATTGGATTTTGATCCGAAAATAATTGACGGCCAAAACTTTTGATTACTGGGGACCGAGAAACATGACTTAGTTCGACCAAAAATAAATAAGTATGACTTAGTATTATATTATATGTATGCATATGTTTGTTAGTGTTGTATTCAAATGAATGAATATCATATGGGATGTTTTTTGTGAACAGATATTCTTATGCACCAAAAGAATGAGTTTTCTATTGCCATTATCTCTCGGATGTTTACCGTCGTAATTAATATTGCCACGAGTCATGGGAATTTGAATTTGAGACCACTAGTCTGAAGTCAATGGCCTTTTTTACTGAGCTAGTCCTTGTTAGCAAAAAGCAAACAATTATGCTTTCGAAAGAATAAAATGAGTTTCTTAATAATTTTTCAAGTGAGCCATCCGTGTCTTAGGTGAGAGATGTTTCCAACTTCTATATACCAATTAGGGCAACAATTTTTATTTTTTTGAGCAACCAATTAGGGCAACATTCGCAAACGAAAGGACCTTTTGACCATACATATTCTCCACTAGACTCTTGTTTTTTGAGAGATAAAGAAATTCCACCTAACTACAAAGGTCAACGGTAAAGGATTTTGTATTAATATTCATCCAAATACATGTCTTTTATTTCAGGAATAATATAATGTCTAATTTCTTATGGATAAAACGTTATTAATTAGAGCTTCTGCAGGCAGGCAGAGAAGATAATAAATTTGTAGAGACTATCGCAATCTTAAAAATCTTTACAATATTTTTTGGTGAGGGATCAATCACAATCTGTTTTTGACCCACAAAGGATCGCAATCTCTAATCAGCTTATCATACAGAGTCTGTTACTTCACGTTTTGCTGGCCACTACAAAACATACTTAATTGACTCAGCCTTTGAAAAGACGGTAAATGTTCACTAGTTTCATAAGCTTTTTTTTTTAATTACAAGTAACCAAAGATAATAAGGCTTGGAAATTCTTATTGTTTTTACAAAATTTGATGTTTCATTAAATTTAGGTGTTTGATTGAATTTTGATTTTAGTCAAGTAAGTAATGCTACTTTTTTTTTACTAACAGGTCATTAGCTCAGTGGTAAGAGCATTTATCTATAGATCATTAGTCTCAAGTTCGAACCCGAATGTCACCTCCCCTCCCAAACTTTGACCAAAAAGTTGTATTACGCTTTTTTTTCTTTCTCAAATAGGTATATTACTCTGAAACATATATGTATGTACAAATTTTGTAGCTATATTGTTGGTATATTAATGTAACCAAAATAAAAGTTCAATCTCCAAGGATAACATTTTAGCTGCCCCTTTGTTTTGGTTTCCGAGTAAAAGATGCAAAAGCAGAGGAAAAGAAGACATAAACATTACAAGTCAGAATAGTTTAGAGGGAGTTTCACTATTATGTCCAATATAAGAGTCCAAATTATTTATAATAAAAAATCTACATGAAATAGACTATAGAAACATACCCAAAGCCCATTTACAACATAACAAAGAGGCTTTAAACTTTCTATAATTTACAAAACTGCCATCAGGTCATGATATTTAGTTAGAGATATTTAGTGCTAAACTAGATATTTAGTTAGATATTTAATTTCGAGTTTAGAACCAAAGAAAAAGTGGAGCCTGATACAGGTCATGAGATGAAGCACATTGTCCAACATTATGAGCCGCAAAGTTGCAGTGCCTGGCCATGCTAAAGCTCTTTTGATACATCATTTTCCAACCAGAACAAGGATCTTGATTTTCTATGGAATTAATTACTTGAATTTATAAATAAATAAAATCCACCCTCTGTAGTAATATAAGCTGCTAACCCACTTTGCAGCTTCTGTGATTGCTAAGAGAGCAGCCCTTGCTTCACCTAGAGTTGGATCAAATTTAATGGCAGCAAAAAAGTTCATCATCTTGAACCAATATATAATTCAGGTGGAGGATACCATTTAGAGGGAGAAACAGGTTTAAAATGTTTGAAGCAAACAGAATGTAACTTTGCTAATCAGGTGATCTTAGGAGGCTCATGGTCTTTTTGAACACTTGTTGAGAACAAACCACACAAGATACAATAAAATTTATGCAGAAAAAGTAACAAATCAGCAGCTTCGGTGCTGTTAATTCCAAAAGCAGGATATGGAACTAGTAAAGATTTGATCCACTTTGAGATGGTGGCTGGTGCAAGTAACTAAATCCTAATTGGTCCCACTTGCAGCCATATTATAACTACACTGTTGCTGAGAAGGCCCTCAAAGCCAATAACCTCAAAACAGGATTGTGATTTGGAGTCCTCAACAGCATCCACCTTTTTACCTAATCACAAGACAAATCACAAAGAGATACAGATCCAATTACTTGAGTTCTCATCCCAGCCTTCCACACTGATGAAACAAGTTTGCAGACTAATTATCTACTTAACTTCCAGATTACCCTTTTGAGTAAACTTGATTTGTTCACAGCTTGCTGTCAGTTTTGGTCACATAGCATTTTCTTGGAGTATTTTATAAATATAAATATATAGTCAGTGGGAGTTTTTCAAAGTCCCAAAGAAAAATGGTTAATGGGATGCAGCATCTAATCTAGTTTATTAAGCAAATCATCTTCATCATCCCATATAATAATCTTATAAGATAACAAATCAGGAATTCATGATCATTACTTTTTTCTTTTGTACTCAATAGCTTTGAGCTTTCATCTAATGGTATATAGCTGCTTCATCTTGATCCCTCATCAAATCATTTGCATCTTTAAAGCTCCTAGGTAATATATTTGTGTTGACTTCTGCAGTGGTCCTGAATCTGATGCTTTGTCTACTAACAAAAATGCAGGCTTTTAATGCTTTTTCCTGAGAAAAAAACAGTAAAAATTGGCCAATGGCTGATCAATTATGAATTGGTAGGCTTTATGCCCTATTAAGACAGGCATAACCTCTACTATGAGCATCTCATGATTCTATATCATTTGCTTCTTAGTATGGCACCAAAAGAGCCCATTAATAAGGTTCTCCCAGACCATGATTCCCTTAATATTTTCATGAGGCATTGTCTTTTCTCGCCACCTTTCCAACTTTTCAAATTCTTTTACTTATTTATCAATGAGATTCGAACCTTCTTCGGTAAAGTGAAAACTGAGTGCCACAAGACCATATCATTTTGTGGTACAAAGTAAAATTACAATATATCAAAAAGGAAGTAAATAGCTTATCTTTCAGCTACATGGCAGCACCTCTCTATTTGTCCAACACACAGCCAATAAAATATTCCCTTTTATCAAAAGAAATAAATCTATTAACCTGAGCTGCAATGCAATACTTTTGTTTGCCTGTCAAAACAAAAAAATATATGCAATATTCTTTAACCAATTAATGCTGGTCCAGGAAGTTGAATGATTTTAATTTAAGATTTGCAGCAATATGAATGCCTTGTTTTTTGTTTGTTTTTTTTTTAACTTCTTAAATTTATTTTGAATGCTATATATTAATTTTTGGTCAGAATGTAGGGTGTCAATTGGCAGCAAGGCATTAAATTTCCGAAAAACCTGGTGGTGACATCTGTTTACATTTCGTACAACTTGCTACATATTAAATTCTAGGCAGGTCTGCATGTGATTATTGGTCCTTACATCATTGATCGTTAGTCAAATATATTGTTCTTGATCTAAATGAAGTAGGGCAGTGGCGAAGCCAGAATTTCTTGTGTGTGGGGCCTCTTACAAATTATAAACATTCAAAAATTCGAACTCACAATATATATATCACATATGTCAAGAATTATATTGCTTATTGGTTGCAATCATAATTGTTCTCAACAAAGGGATAGAAAAATACATTCTGAGCAAGAACAATTGCAAGAGATAGACAAATAGTAGCGATTTAGCAAATATCTTTAAAGCTTTTCCCCCCATTAAACCCAATAGAAAGAAAAAATCAAAATTTCACAAACTAAAAAAAGCCTTAGGTCCCTTCATGCATTCATATCATACATGAAAAAATGTTTTATGTACAAATATTGACTAAGTATGAAAAATAGTTTTTCGGAATAATCATTTTCTCAAGGTAATTTTTGGCGGCTTTTATTCCTTACACATCAAATAAGAAAACTTGATTTTATGGGATTTTAGTATGAAGTATATATTGACTTAATGAGCCATCATTTTCAGCATAAATCGTATTTTGCACTAAAACCAATTTTTCATATTTTGATTTGGTGGGAATTTGATTTTCTAGTATTTTTATTTGAATCCAAATAGGGGTTACTTCCTTATTTACATTGTAAACTTAAGTAAGTGGAGTAATATAAAAATAAATGAAAGTAAAAGGACAAAGACATTTACTTAAATGTTAAAGATGGAAATAAGGTAATCTGTACACCTGGAGTGCACCACTTCCAGTTGAGTAAATGGGCAATTTGAAGTACCTTCTTGTGCCTTAATAGGTCCGCCACAACACATGTAGGTGCATATCAAAACGTAAAGTATTTGAAATAATATACATATAGAAATACATAACAGTATATTACTTTTAAAATATAAAAAAATTGAGTGGGGGCCCGTGACCACACTGGTCCCAGTGTGGCTCCGCCCCTGAAGTAGGGTAGAGCAAAAATTCAACTTTTGTCGTAAATATGAAGATAAGTGCT